ATATAATCTTTGAGTATAAATAGGTTTAGAATTCTAGTCTATGACTAGAAGTAAAAACAAACATTTCTCATATTCATCTAGATAGAAGGACTTATTAGCAAATATCGAATGACGAACGTTTTTATCTGAAATTTTGCCTATATGTAGGGCCCATGATCCTTGGTAAGCGTTAAAAGTTTCAACGAAAACGGATCTTACTTTATCGAGAAAATCAATTGTAAATAAGTATACACATTTTACAGAAAAAAAAACAATTCATTTCTTATATATTGATTATCTCGAGAAAGAAAGATCCATTATCATTGAAACTTTTACCGCATACTAACGACCATCAGATCTACATATAGACAAAATTTCGTCATGCGATTTTTTTCTAAATACCTTGCCATGGACCAAAAACCCAGTAAACCGGTCATAACTCCGGAAGAAAGACCTATAGGACACTTATCCTTTTAGCCTTTTTCTAGTTATGGACAAAATATCAGTTCAAAAGTTTTTAATCATTTGGTGGACTTTGATCGTCAGAACATGTCTTTATTCTACGTCTCAATCTATCTCATATAGAGATGTGCGAAAGCACAAAAACTTTGGTCCCGTGCGTCCTTACCCGCGATCCATACTTATCTCTATGCACACAGTTAACCTTATTCTTATCTTATGTTTTGGAACTACTGAAAAAGACGTACAAGTTCGACCGTAAATCTACACAGATCAGGAGAGTTACTCGTAAAAATCTCGTATTTCTTTACCGAAAGATTAGTAGAGGCAAACTGCATTTGAGAGTTTTTCTAGACTGATTAAGATCTATTTTGTTTTAGTTTATGTTGGAGACGTTGCCTCGTTAGGAAATAATTTTAATCACATACGAAAAAACAAAAACGAATTCTCAAAATCAAACCTTAGAAATGCTCTTGTAAATTGTGCTTGAGCAACATCACGTTCCGATAATGTTAATAACCCATTAGAAGGTGTATTTGCATTTTGTAATAAAGCTGATTCCGATTCATCTCTTGATCGTGCTTGTTTAATAGCTGATCTATGACATTGAATATCTATTATATTAAAATGTGTTACACTGGCATAAGCAGATGTTTTTCGTCTTTTACCTTCATATGGTTGAATATGAACGTTTTTTTCTAAATCTATAAATAGGTAAAATTTTATTTGGAAAATCTTTCTAACCTTGACGAGAAATCCAACAAAGGTTTGATTTCTAAGATGATAAATTTTGTTTTAGGAACTTGTTCATATTCAGTTAATGAATGTAAAAGATCTTCAGCTAAACACAGCAACGTTTACCAGTTGTTGTTAATTGTTGAATTTAATGTAAACATTGGAATTAAACTTAATCCAATGTTTCATTTGAATTTGTTCATGCCGACATGATAAACCAATTAATAAAGGTAACTAAATATGTTTTAACTTGTGATGCATTGGCTTCAACAGAATTTCTAGATTGATCAATAATACCATTTGATTAATTAACAAGATGAAGAAATTCTTAACCATAAAGAGATTTTTTTATCTAAATGTAAACATATTTCAGAGAAAGAATCTAAATATAATTGACAATGATTATAATTTGATGTTATTGTTGATGATGATCTTTGTTCAAGATCAAATCGATAAAATTGACAAAAATGATTTAAAATAATCAATTAATGTTCGCATTTTGTTCTTTATTTCTAAATTCAAAATATGATAATTAATGAATAAGAGTTTCCATTAACACTTGGATGAATTTTAACAAATGCTTTTTTTATATAATTAAGTTATCAACGTAATTGTTCAATATCCGATAATAAGAAAAAAAACTAAAAAGGAAATTTACAATTGTCAAAGAATTTCTATACTCGAAATCCAGACTATTCGTTTCGTTTATCTTTAATTCTGATTATATAAATAATTTATCATAAATATAGAAATAAAAACGAGTTTTATTTTAATTCTAAACAAATATTTATCTTATTTTTTATCCTCCTTTCAAAAGAGTTAGTCCGATCAGTGACCATTTTCGATTTATTTCATTATTTTAAAAAGCTAATATTCAATATTTCAAATCGCCCTTGAAAATTTGTTTTGTTTGGTGACTCCTAACAATTCGATAATTGAGAAGTGTTTGTAGGAAACGATCGAAACCAACAGTCATACAGAATTTATACTGGAGACATTTATTTATTCTTTCGATGTTTTCCGTCAATTCTGCATTCTAACAAGAGATGTTCACGTCAGAATTAAAAGAGTGAATGCAATTCGAATAACTCGATAAGGGCAACAACTATCGACTTGTGTCAGATCTATCTTTATTTTATAGAATATAAAGGAAACTTATTTTAAAATCCATCATCTTCACAAAACATCCATGAAAATATAGTTCAACAAAACGACTCGGATAATTATCTTCTCATCTTTCAAAACGAAACAAACCAAATCCCGGATCTATTTTGTCAAATAAAATAGGATTTTGTCGATTTTAGGTAAATTTTCTAATGTTTTCCTGAAAATTTCTATGATACGTAATACGATTTCCGTGCATTTTTTAAAAATATCTGTCGAAGATGATGGATTTTAAAATAATTCTGTCTTATATATATAGTCTAAGAGAAAAAGACGTTCGAAAATCTCTTCTTTCGATTTGTGGAAACTGTTAGGTAGTTTATAAAAATTCCTATTTTGCTTTCTACAGATACAGGTTTCGACTTCTTCACAAAATTTAACTGATAACTGTTCAATCTTTCCTCAGACAAAAAATTCTGAATATATATTCGGAAAAAGCGAAAAAGTTTGATTTCTAATCAAGAATAGGTAAGTAGCCGAAAAATGAGTCAATAACTTTCGCAGTGTAGGTTAGTTCTTTCTGGTAGTAGACAACACTGTTAAATATTTTCTAGTTTTATTACAAAACACATGACAAATTTTTTTTCAATAGAAATCAATCTTCAAAAAAAATCTTGATTAGATCAATAAATAATAACTAACCTTGACATTATAGAGAATATTTATTATATTTATTGTTGTCATTATGTTCTACTTGCTTTATAAAATAATTTATCGATAATAAAAAGAAGTTTTTCTATTGATAATAAAAGTCCTTGTTCTTCAGTTTGACTTTTTAATAATAAATTAAGTTTGTTTAACATAGATTATATTCAACGTTTATTTCGATCAATTAAACATTGTCGATTAACTTTAACTTTAATAGGATATTTAAATAATATTAATAAAATTTATAATAATGCTTTTCCTTATGAGATATCATCAATTCAATCTAAACGTTTAATCATAGTTTAGAAATCTGAATCTTCACTAAGAACATTATCTAACACGATATATTTATTCAGGATGATCTTCACCATTTTCATTTCTATTTTTCTTTCTATAAAATCTTTCAATTCTATATTCTCTTGCATCACCTAATAAACCATAGGTTCATCTTCATTTTATGATCGATTAACAACTGGTTGAACACTTCCTCTTCAATCATCATTTGATGGTCTTGTTTTATGATAATTAATATATGGTAACCAAATCTTTTTTATAAACATGACGAAGAGCTAAACCTAAATAAATTATTTTATTTTCCAGAAGTAATTCGATGACATAATCATCTTCAACTAATGGAATTAATTGATAATCAGTAAAACATTTTATTTTGTTATATCAGGCATTAATCGACCCATAGCTGAATCTGCTCAACTATATGGCTAACCCATCATTCCTCCTGAAAACAGATTAAAAAAAAAAGAAAAATTCTTTTCATTATATGATATTAATTGTTGATCGATTTCAAGTTAAATAGAAAAGAGAAAAAAACGAATTCTATAAAAAGAAAAAGTTGAGATAATAATATAATACTTTTTTATTTTTGTGGGATTGAATACTTTTAACTATTAGAATAGATATTTGTCTTAACATTTCTATAAGAATTCATTTCGATATAACTGACTATCGTTATTTGAATTAGTTCGCTAATATAGTTCAACATTTCTGACTCAAATTAAGTTTCAAAGTTGTGCTGCACAACTCGTTTAAGACTAATATGTCAAATATGAAATAACTATTCCTACTAATAGAAATATATTTTTAATAGATCGGTTCAACGAGTCAACATCTTCATCTGTTGGACGTCAATAGAGATCATAGTTTGTCAATATGTAGAACTTGGTCAAACTAGTTGACGTCTAAAACAATTTCTGCTCATAGATTCTCCTTAAAAGATAAAGAGGATTTTAGTGAATTGTTCAATATAAGATATGGGTATAGGTGCGGGTGTGATCATATGGTATATTCCTATTCTTAGCAAATTCAAACGAAATGACTATGAAAAAAATATAATGGAAAATTAATAAAATCCTTTGAGAAATAAGCAGATCTTTTTCCCGTTAACTATTCGCAAATGCTTCGATCAGTAAGTTGAACTTCTCTTGGACTTCTAAAATATATTTTGAAATAAAACGTTATCTCACAATTATGCAAACAAAATAAACAAGATAAAGTTAAGATAAAGGTTTTGTTGAAGGTGGTAGTGTAAATGCGGCTCTTATCTTCACTTCGACATCGTTTTCTAATCCCAGCAACTAGGAAAGATATATAAAAATGAATTTCCTAACCCAACCCAACGTTAGACTGGAAGTTGTCTCCCTTCAATTGTCAATGTATAAAAATGAATTCGAGCTAATGCATCATAGACATTTTAATGAGAACTTTTCGAACTGTATTCTTTATCTTGTATAATGTATTGAATAATAATATAGAAAAATTTGAATTTCGCATACCATCGTGTGAGTGTGCATGTATGAGTGAAGGTGTGTTAGTAAAGAAAAATGTCTATACCCATCAGAGATGTTCATGGCAGCGGCGGTGCCGTCACCAGGACAAGATCATCATCAACTTTTTATAGAGTTTGCCAGGTTGTGGTAGCCTTGGCTTGTTTTAGGAGCGTGTCGCGGCAGCGAGAGATTTTCAGCTGCGATGAACATCTTTGATATCTATATCGTAGAAAAAATTTTCGTTTTTTCATATGATCGAATAAAATTCTTCTTATCATAAATATTATTTAAAAAATTTTCATTTTTGACTTTTTTCCTTTTTCGATGTCTTCGATTTATTTGTTTATCTCTTTTAGATTTTCCATAAAATCCTAATCAATGTTTGAGTGAGTCCTGTATTGTTGACTGACTATCAGTATTTCGATAAATAGTGCGCATCGATAGTAGTATCGTTTCCAAAGTGAATAGATATAAGTGAACACTAAGAATTTTTGTTTATTGTTAAAAGCAAACTTTGTAAGAAATCTTCTTGATTTGGATATACTGTCAACGATAATAATAAATTGATTATTTTCGTTGTAGAATTTCTTGTGTATAAATAAAAAAACGATAAACGTTGAAATATAAATAAAGGTAGGTGTTTCGATATGATTTAATTGAAATATTTCAATTGTATAAATAAAAATAATTCAAAATTCTCTTATTTATTGTTGATTATCTCTTGTAATTTGTTCTAATAATTCTAAAATTTAATATTGTGCTTGATCAATAAATCTAGTAGGTTGTAGAATTAATTTTGTTAAATGTTAAATAACCATTGTAATAGAATAGGAATTAATATTGATTTATATATTTGTTTTAATTGATCTTGTTCTAAAAATAAATAAAATAATTCCGTTAAAGATTTAATTGAATAAGAAAATATTAAATTTGTTTTCATCTTGTTTATTAATAATTAATATTTGAAATTGTTGATCATAAGATAAAATTAATTAAAGATTTATAAATAAATCTTAAATTAATTGTAGGTATTCATATGAATATTAAAATAGATTTTCATCATATATTCTATGGAAATAATTGATTAAGATTTTAATAATAAATAATTTCTATAAAGTATTTGAATTAATTTCGATGTTAAATATGTAATGTATTGTTGCTGATTGTGGAGAAAATAAAAATAATTCTAACCATCATTTATAATAAGATGTTAAAGAAAAATAAATTTTATTCGAATCGTTGATATGTTATTTGTTTTCATAGAACATTTTTCAATATCAATTGAAATAAATATTTTTTGTTAGTTTTTCTAATTTAGATAAATCCAGTCAAATTTAAAAACAAGATTATCTTATATTTTTGGTATTGAAATGTTAAAATGAATAAATAAATAATTTAAATATTTTCCCAAGATAAATCTTGATAATCTTGATATGAACGTTGTATAAGTGAAAAAAACTACTAATATATCATAATTAATTAATGATGATGATGATAAAAGAAATTTTCGTTAAAAAATTCTTTCAATTTTATTTAATATATTTGTTGTTATATAATCAGTTAATTCTATATTATCAGGTGTTAAATAACAAAATAATAAACGTAGATTATGATGTATTTGTTGATTTGTATAATATATATTATTTAATAATAATTGATCAATTAATCATATTTTATTTTTAATAGATTGTTTTAAACGATTTCATCATCTAACAAATGCACGTCAAAGTAATATACAATCTTATATTGTTGATAATATAGAAGCATAACAATGATGTCATCGTGATGTTGTTGTTGTTGTTGTTGTTGATGATGAATTTCAATGACGTTTATCATATGTATAAAGTTGTGTTAGGTGTATATATCATTTTCTTGTATATATTTACCAATTTGATAATATGTTTGACGACATTGAATATAATATATTGGTGGTATTTGTTCAACAAAACGATAAATACTATTTCGATTATTTTTTCATGTTTAACTTATTGTTAGTGTTGATAGACTAGGAGCTTGTTGTTGTTGTTGTTGTTGTTGGTAATGAAGGTATTAAACGTTGAAGTTTGATCATCAGAATTTAATTTAATTTAATTAATAAATATTCAAGAGTAGATTTTTGATTAAGTTATTGACGATAGATTTTATCGGTGTTTTTCTAATAATTGACGTTATATTAGGAATTGTTTTACATGGATCGTTGATCGGATTGAATAGATTGAACATAATTAATTTGTTTACCAGTAAAAATAAAATAAAATTTACAATTTCTCCAATAACTAGATGAATTACATAAAAATGGATCACGTTCATCATAATTTATTGATCGACATTTCTGACACTAGAGATAAACAAAAAAATGAATTTTCATTATAGAATTGATGAGCAATAAAAATGCTGAATAAAAAAGAAAATTTGTTCAAGATACGGAGGGAGTCATTCGCTTGGGAGATCGTTCTATATATATGTTAAGAATTTTTCTTTTCGATTTCATAACATCCTATTCTGATACAAAGGTAACACCAATATTTGAAATCCATCGGATTTAATAATGATTCATTCGAGGAGTAGAACCTATCAAATTTAATATAGATCACGTTAAGTCTATCATTAATTGAGACAGTTGTTTGGCAATGGTTTGGCGAACACAGCCTCAAATCCGTAACTAGATATTATCAATTGGGTGTCCTATGAAAAAGAGAATTCTCTCTATTTTAATTAAATATTTCTTTTAATTCTCTATAAAATGGAGGGTTTATTTGTTTTTATTAATGTAAATAATATCTGTCATATTCAAAGGCATGCAGATCGACGTATGGAACGTTGACATTCATCAACTAGATAAGAGTGAAATGAAAATAAGTTTATCTCTATCAACATCAATAAGCATTAGTTATCGAATAGTCGAGATTTAAATAGATCGAATCTTATAGAGAAATAAAAATGTCTATTTATTCAAAGAAAATAATAACTCTCAATAAACGAATACTAAAATACATATCATTAAAACATTGATCGATTCTTATTCGACGAGACACTTTATATATATATAACAATCTTCCATTCTCCTTTTGTGACACACGATCTAAATCTACTATTGAAATCTAGAGACAAAACTTCAAACCTTTCCTTCTCACAGATGATAAAAGATAATCCACTGTTGCCATCTCCATTTTCTCATCGACCATAAGAGACATACTTGCAAGATTAAAGAAGAGCCTATCGGCTTGGATCCGGATCTCGGATTGGAAAATTTTGAATCCGATGGTCCGAAATCTTCTGGAGGATTCTAATAAAAGAGTTGAATTAAAGATAACTATCTATTATCCCTGATTAAGATTGCTTCTACTCGAAATCTATATCAGTCAATTTCTTTCTCAGTAACTTCATTATATATTAATCTTGTAGAAATTATGCGAACAGATTCTTTTTTTCTTGTTTCTATTCGAACCTGAAAAAGATTTTCACGACAATTAGGATAAATGTCAGGTGTTGCTGCAAGAGGTGAATGTCCATATTGGACATTGTAATCTTGTTCTATCTGTAACTGTTGCTAAATAAGATGTTGCTCTTTCAAAACAAATCAACATATTCAATTATTAAATAATAATCAATAGTTGGTATAATTAAATCAATTTTAACTTATCTTTGTTCTATATTTGTTAATTTAATTCTTTTAGCTAATAACCATTTAGAATTTTAATTATTTTGTTAAATAAACTATTGATTCTAGATTAAGATTATTATTATAAAAACGTTTTCTACGTACAGGTTTATTAGATTTTATTTCCGAGATTTTAATATCGAATGTTTTCTATTGAATATGGTTGAATTAATAAAAGAATATCTGATTGTATTGCATAAAGTTGATAAAGTTAAATAGCTTGTTATTTAACGTTGTTTATATCGTATATCAAGTTCTCTTTAAAAGTAATAATCATTATTTTATTCAATATCAATTATTGTTGATAAACGATCATTTAATAATAATCGATTTTATCTTTTTAACATTAATTCTAATGTTAGGTTTAAATTCATTTCTAGGTTAATCATCGTTAATAAAGCATGTATAATATCTTAATTCCCACTATAAAGAGGTAATCGATAGATAACAAATGAATTCAACTAACATATATTGATAATAGAAAAACGAAGGGAATTACTTTTTTAATCAATTATTCAATTCAATTCGAATTTAATTGAATAGAAGATCAAAACTCGTACGTTCCACTTGACGCATAACGTTTTTTGTGTTTCTTGTCGAGACAATGTTATGTGTGGGTGTAGATATTTCAATCGTCTAATAAATGGGTAAAGCCTATGAGATCGAAAGATATATCTCTCGAGTTATTTATTTAGTGAAGTGTTTGACTTGTTACAAAGCAATATATTAAAAGTGGAAATACCATTCGAACTTTTATTTTCAGATTTTACCAAATTATTTTCAATTATTCAACAAGAATTAAAAACAAAAAAACAAACATCGTTTTTTTTTTTTTATAGAATTTACTTTGTTTTGTTAAAAGTTACTCTTTAAGTGTTGATAATTGTTATATTCATGAATTTTCTTATGTAAATTAAAACAAAAAAAATGTTAAAGTGAGATTATCTGTTTCTATTATATTTGATTTGATCGTTGTTTTGGTATTGATTGATAAATGAAATAATTTCAATTGATTGTTGAACATTTCCTTATTTATTTCCTAGTCGAATATGTTTGGTTTATTTCTGATATAAATCAGACCATTTATCAGAATTGATTTTTAAAAATTTCATATGATCATATCGAAATCTATTTTATGTCAATATTACCGTGTAGATTTGTGAGAGAAAAACAAAACTAATCGTTTATGAAATATATATGGATTGTTATAAAAAATAGCTCGTTTACTCCCGGTGATATATCTCTAGTTAAACTGAGTTGAACGTTTATTCATTTATAATTTATCATTATTCGTTCTCATTTATTGACATAAGCTGATCAATTCTGATCAATGATTATTGACATATTATCATTATAATTGATCAGTTATTGATTATTTTAAAGATATTGAATAATTATTTTAAATTTCAACTATGGATAAACAAAAACAAAAAGAGAAAAGAAGTCTATCAACTGTTGAATTGTTGATTGATAGTTATGTCTTAATTAAATCTATTTATAGAATTGATAAGATCCGTTTTGTTTTTTAAATAAAATATATTCATTTATATTTAACATGAATAAATAATCAATATTGATTTGTTGTTATTTAACCAATATTGATAATCAGATCAAAATTAATAAAAAACAAGTTAGAATTGAATATTATTTTTTTAGTAGGAAATATTTGTCACATTTAACAATAAATTAATATAATCTGTCGAATATATCGAAATCTATTAAAAAATCTTAGTATTATTTACAATCTATAGAAAATGAGAGTAGTTTTTTGTTCTATTATATATTAAATAAATAAAAGTAACGATAATTATTTCGGGTGTTAATATAAATATAATTAAGTTGAAGTTTTCTTTATATAAAATTCTAGAAAAATTCTCTCGAATCAACGATCAATCAGGAAATATTTATCGAAGATCCATTGAATAAAAATATTCGTTCTATAACGAATATATGTTGACCGTTTCGAGTAAGAAAAAGAAAAACTAATAAACCTAGATAAAATCCAGTATGTTTTTCGGATGACGCAAGTATTATATAGTCAAGTGTTAGGAACGAGAACTGGTCAGAGAATTCATAGATTTTATTATTTAGAGGACGGGGAGGAAGTTGCTTGAACATGACCGTTATAGATGTTGGTTTATTTATAAATAATAATTAATAAATGGTGTAGATTGATTATAATTAGTAATTTTATATTAATAGAAGAAAAAATAATCATAAACAAATGTTGTTGAAAAAAAATTGAAATTGATTTAAAGATTGATTATTTTCTTTTCATAATTATCTTTGAATATCTAGAAGATAAATAAAATAAAATATTATTTCGTTTTTAATATTCCCTAGAGATTCAACTCTTATATTAATTCATTGTTAAATCTTTATCTTGACAATAAATCTATTTATTATCATTATTACATAAAACAAAAACAAACTCGTTTGGACGGTTGTTTTTCTCATCTGTGGACATATGACACGTTTCGATTTTCGACTTTGTTTATCGTTCGGATAATTGTCTTATTGTTTATTTTTAATCTCTGATCGATAAATTCAAGATATTTATCCTATAAAACCTTTCGTTTTTATATATATTAATCAATCAGTTAAATGTTCACCTTAATATATTTTTATTTTAGAATTTTAGAAACTTCGACTCTTGTGATGGTTTCGAAAAACAAAAAAATTGAAATTATTATTAGGATCCTATATATATATCATAAATCTATTAGTGAATAAAATAAATTATTTTGTTATCGTCTTGATAAGAGTGATTTGCGTTAGGAAAGGTTCCCTACTCTTATAATCCTGATTATCTGAGTAGAATATAAAAAATATTGATAAAGGCAAAAGTATTTATTATCGTAATCGAAATAGAAATTAAAGAATCGTCAATAACATTTAGAAAAAGGAAGCATTAAAACTAAAGATAAAAAAGATATTCATATATCTTTTTATAAATGATTTAAAGATAATCTATTATATATTTCGTCTAGTATCCTATATTGACTAGATATAGATTTCTCTAATTGGAACGAAATAAATAAAGATTGTTATTTGTTATGTGTTTCTAGTTGATTATTTTCCATATATTAAATAAGTAAAGATATATTTTCGTTCTATGGATTGAAAAAAAAAAGAGTTGAAATTCGTAATTGATTAAAATAAAATAAAATATTTCTCAATAAAAGTATAATTTTCAGTGTTTTCAATAATCGTTAAGATAAGTCTGACCATAATAACGTTGTTGATTTCCATAAATATTTCAAATTCAATTTATTATTTCGCTAGTTATCGGTCTATCAATGAAATGTTGTTGAACGTTAAAAACAATCTAGAATGAACACACATTGTCTCATATAAAAACGTTTCATAGAAATTCTTATTTGTTAGAAAACGTTAACAATAAGAGAGGA